GTACCTGGATTATCTGTCGCTGTATCTGAATTAACTGTCGCTGTACCTGAATTAACTATTGCTGTACCTGGATTAACTGTCGCTGTACCTGAATTAACTATTGCTGTACCTGAATTAACTCTCGCTGTATCTGAAATAACCATCGCTGTACCTTAATTAACTATTGCAGTACCTGAGCTAACAATAGCTGTACCTGAATTGGCTATTGCAGTACCTGAATTAACTCTTACTGTACCTGAATTAAGTATCGCAGTACTTGAACTGACTATTGCAGAGCCTGAAGTTATCATTGCAGTGTCCGACTTAACTATTGCAGTCCCTGAGCTAACAATAGCTGTACCTTAATTGGCTATTGCAGTCCCTGAATTAACTCTTGATTAACTGTCGCTGTATCTGAATTAACTATTGCTGTTCCTGGATTAACTGTCTTTGTACCTGAATTACCTATCGCTGTACCTGGATTATCTGTCGCTGTATCTGAATTAACTGTCGCTGTACCTCAATTAACTCTCGCTGTTCCTGAATCACCTGTCGCTGTACCTGGATTAACTATTGCTGTCCCTGGATTAACTGTCTTTGTACCTGAATTACCTATCGCTGTACCTGGATTAACTATTGCTGTATATGAATTAACTATTGCAGTCCCTGAGCTAACAATAGCTGTACCTGAATTGGCTATTTCAGTACCTGAATTAACTGTTGCAGTGCCTGAATTAACTATTGCAGTACCTGAATTAACTCTTGCAGTGCCTGAATTAACTGTTGCTGTACCTGAATTAAATATCGCAGTGCTTGAACTGACTATTGCAGTGCCTGAAGTTATCATCGCAGTGCCCGACTTAACTATTGCAGTGCCCGACTTAACTATTGCAGTACCTGAATTAACTCGTGCAGTGCCTGAATTAACTCTTGCTGTACCTGAATTAAGTATCGCAGTACTTGAACTGACTATTGCAGTGCCTGAAGTTATCATCGCAGTGCCTGACTTAACTATTGCAGTGCCCGACTTAACTATTGCAGTACCTGAATTAACTCTTGCAGTGCCTGAATTAACTCTTGCTGTACCTGAATTAAGTATCGCAGTACTTGAACTGACTATTGCAGTGCCGGAAGTTATCATCGCAGTGCCCGACTTAACTATTGCAGTACCTGAATTAACTCTTGCAGTGCCTGAATTAACTATTGCAGTGCCTGAATTAAGTATCGCAGTGCTTGAACTGACTATTGCAGTGCCTGAATTTATCATCGCAGTGCCCGACGTAACTATTGCAGTGCCTGAATTAACTCTTGCAGTGCCTGAATTAACTCTTGCTGTACCTGAATTAAGTATCGCAGTGCTTGAACTGACTATTGCAGTACCTGAAGTTATCGTCGCAGTGCCCGACTTAACTATTGCAGTACCCGAATTAACTCTTGCAGTGCCTGAATTAAGTATCGCAGTACCCGAATTAATTATTGCAGTACCCGAATTACCTATTGCAGTGCCCAACTTAACTATTGCAGTACCTGAATTAACTATTGCAGTACCTGAATTAAGTATCGCAGTACTTGAACTGACTTGCAGTGCCGGAAGTTATCATCGCAGTGCCCGACTTAACTATTGCAGTGCCCGACTTAACTATTGCAGTACCCGAATTAACTATTGCAGTGCCTTAATTAACTATTGCAGTACCCGAATTAACTATTGCAGTGCCCGAATTAACTATTGCAGTGCCAGACTTAACTATTGCAGTGCCCGAATTAACTATTGCAGTACCCGAATAAACTATTGCAGTACCCGAATTAACTATTGCAGTACCCGAATTAACTATTGCAGTACCCGAATTAACTATTGCAGTACCCCGAATTAACTATTGCAGTGCCCGAATTAACAAGGATAGTATATCAACTAACTCTAGTGGTATCTTAATTGACTATTGCTGAACCTGAGTTAACTTTCGCAATACCTTGATTAACTATCGCAGTACCTGAATTGACACTCACAGTACATAAATTAAGCTCGCAGTTTCTGAGTAGATTATCAATTTCCTAAATCTTCTTCATATAACTCCTCTGGTACCTGAATTTACTCTCGCAGTTCCTACATGTTAATAATACGTTATGATTTTCGCTGTACACGGGACAAACTTCTGGTATCTGAGTTAATTCTTTTAGTATCCTAATTAACTGCCACAGTACAAGATTTAGAACTCGCAGTAACTGGTAGATTACCAGAGTTCCTGGATGAACGCCTCGGCGTCTAAAATAAACTTCAGATCACCCGATACATTCTCGCAGTACTTAATTCACATATCTTGAAATAACTCTAATGTTATTTGCATTTAATCTTGTAGTGCCTGAATTAACTAACTATCCCAGTACCCGAAATAACACTTGCAGCAATTAAATTAACTCATACAAGTTCAAGTTCTGTATTAACTTTAAGTCTTGCGCTTTATCAGTGTAAACATATATAATAAACAGACCAATGTACAAAAAGCCACATTGGTCACAGGGGAATGAAGAATACACACATACAAACTGTCATATATCTATCTGATCGGCGCTTATTTGCCGCTATCAGATACTTTCCAAGATTACATAATTCTTTAATATTCTGTGTATTAAGTAATTGAACAAGCTTATATACAGTATGGTTATTTCTATAGTAACATTTTAAATACGTCCGTCTTAAATCTGTATATCTTGTGCAAACTAAAACAAAACTCGTCTTCTATGCCATTAAGATAACACTTTGTACATACTCCATTAGTTCTAACAGTGCCAACATAACGTCCAGATTCAATGTTTAATTTGTGAGCTGACAGCCTAAGTCGAGTACCTGAAAGAGACGCATCTATGAAAACACGCATACGTTTTTGCTCAGGTAACCTTTCGCAGTATCATGGTTTCTTGTTGGAGCGTTTCCTTTATAACATTATACCTGCGAGCTGGTTTACATGTTATGGAATTTTGAACGAGAGCGCTGTACGGTGAAGGTGATGGAAGAGGGAGTAATCTCCCAGCAATAACCGCTATCACATTTCAAATCATTACAATGATTGCGTCAGCGGGATATTACCACACTGACAAGATTTATTTCTTCTGGAAAATTTGTTTTCACTTCACGAGTGAAAATCGTGTTAATTGCGGAATGCGCTGCACCGCGTTAGTTCCTGGTTTTATTGCCGCCTTGCAGGGCTATCTGAGGGCAGACTCATTGATTTGAATTACGCGTGAATTCATATGGTCGTGTACTCGGAACCAACGTTTCATGTTAAAAGAAATGAAACAGGATTGCAAATAAAACCCGGAAATGACTTGCAGTAAAAGTGACCCCGAATCAATTAAATGTTTTCACCGCTTTAATTCGATAACAAGGACTATTGATCAAATCAGATTTTTTTCTTCTATTTTAGTCTTTATACACTAACACTTGCTCATTCACAATGGTAAGATATATATGTGTGTGCAGTAGTATATAAATTGAAATAATGTTACCATTTTCGTGTCATTAACAAGATAAGTTTGTTATACATATGCTATGCGTGTCATGACACACTGCCAACGGCGAAGGATAGATAAACAAACTGCAGCAATTTTGAAAATATTTTAATAACCACTCTATCAAATACATATCGGAATGGTTCATTAATTTTGTATATTTACGAGGAAGGCTGGGATCCCTCGCCAAGTGATAACAGGATGGGCTGTGAAGCACTGATAAGTTAGACGAGCTGGAGAGAGTAGATTGGCCGTGATTGGGAGGGGGGTCTAATTGGCAATGAAGCTGACATTTTGACTGATGACGGAGGCGGTCAAACTGCATTAAAAGGCATTTTGGCTTTTGTAAACGGGGACCGTCTCAAGAGGCAATTTCGCAGGAATTAGAAAGCGCTGCCGTGCTTTAGGTGTTTTCTTGGCATGGCAGCGATTGTGTATACAAACACTGACAAAAGGAACGGAAGGCACCCTTGTTCAATTGTGAGGAAGTAAGGAAAATGAGGTAAACAAGCAATAAATATTCTAACACTGGGGTGGTCTTTGCTGTCAAGTCACAATGGTGTAAGTTTCGCTTAATTTCATATGCATCAATTTCTCCGTTCCAAGTTACCATGCATTTACAAATCAAATAAAGATTTATAAGCTGATAAATTCAATAGAAAGCTTTCGGTTGTTATCAAAGAAAAAAAAAATGGCGTTAACAAAGCGACGCTTCGTTCATTTACGACAAAATTGAAAATTATTCATCTCTTTGCTAACACTCGTTAGCTTCTTGTTGTTAAATTGACACATTGTGTTATATTTCACGGAATGACAGTAATGATTTGTATCGAATAGCACAAGTATTTAGGAAAAAGATAAGACTAAATAGGATTTGGCAGGTTGGCTAAACTGATTCCTAAAATAAGGGGAAACGTCTTAATCAATATATAAACTAAAGCTACTGATGAATGCCTGCCTTGCACAGTTAATTATTCCGCTGACAATTTTATTGGTATCAATTTTTTCGTTATCTGCTCGTCCAGAGTTTCCGCCGGCTTCCTTCCATTGGCGAGTCCTGTTTATGGCCAGTTCCGAGGCTATTAGCGTCTGTCCGTTACATGCTTTTAGCCACTTGTGTATGCCCCCTTGTTCCCTATCACAGACTCTTCTTCATATAGCTGGTGAATCTCCCAGTCCTGAAAGCTTTTTCATTCGCAATCGATTCCGAAAAAGATCGTTCGTTATTGCGCTGTCATCTTATAGCATTCACAGCATAGCAAATTACATGGCTCCCCGCGAGCAATTTTCACTTGGAAATACATCAAGCCACTTTACGGAACGTGGAACCAGCTCTGAGAATGGTGTTACACGTGGGACAAGATATTGTCATGCGAGCCGATTGACTGGCTAGTTTATCCCGCCGACACTACTGCACGTACACACCCCATCCTGTCAGGCATACCGTCTCCCCTGTCGGGGGAACGCTACTGATGGATCTTCGCGCCGATCACGCGCACGGGAGCACGCCATATTGATGGAACTTCTGACCGATGAGGAAATTGTCTCCGTGTATTGGGTCATGTTGTTGTGAAGACATTTTATCGCAATGTGTGTACTTGTAACCGACAGTAGAAGTAAACAGATTAATTAATAATGGAACTAGACGACTCCACATCTGGTGTTACCGTCGGACGTACATTTTATCTTATTATGGACACAACATCTTTTATTGAAGATATATTTGTGTTAATCTTGTGATGTTATCGACAGAGGGCGCCTGCAACCGTTGTTCCGGTAGTGTACTTGGAGACAATTTCCTTCGCGGTAGGTAAAGTACCACAATCTCACACGAAAGAGTTAATGTGGAAACAGACACGAAGATTTGGCTGATATCGCTCGCATTCTATTTTTAACGTTAAGTTTATAGAGCATAAAATGCATTTTGTAATCACCAGCGATTAATCACGTGCATGCATACACATACACACGAGTTAACGAGGTGATACGCAACCTGTTGCTTTAACATAGTGTTTGATGTTGACAAGCTACCTCTAGTGTTTTTGTGTAAAGAGAGCTGAGTGGGCGTATGCATTTATACTAAACTAAAACGAATACCCTCATTTTGTTTAAATCATGTTATTTAAAGGCATTTGTTACGCTGATTATTTATTTAAACACATACATGTAACTAGAACAATCCATTGACATTAAGTAGAAAATTACGTGAATGGGCGCATTTAGCTGGGACAATAGACCGTTTCAACTTCACTGGTTTGTCGCCAAATGCAGTGCAGTGTAACTGCATTTGTTTACACAGGGGATAGCTAACCAATCACAAGCTTAAACACTGTACTGCAAAGATTGGGTCTTCAATCGATGATGCAATATTTAGATACTGAGAGCGCAGCTCCGCTTGTGTTACAGAGTAAATCGGAGCACCTGTTTGCATGCCTTCACTCCGCCATTACATTATCTGCTTCCTCTTGCCGAGGGAACAGAATGAGTCTGTAGGGAATACGTCTGCCTAATTGGTCTTCAATCTACCGATCCATGCGACATTTTACCGGATCCCTTTGATGCACTTTCTGTGGTTGAACTCTCCTGGTAGAACAAATTTCACAACCACCTGTTACAACGCTTTTAAGCGTTCGTATACAAAGATTAATATCTTGTTGAAATTGGACACTGTTGGACTCGTATGCTGAAAGCCATCACTATTATATAATGTAGAATATCGGTTAAGATATCAATGTTCATTAATAAGGTCAAAGTAAGCTAAAGAAAAGTACAACACAGCCAATATATAAGTTGGAAATCTTCGTCCAAAGTCTACTCGGAAATACAGATGAAGAATTTAGTGGACACAGTACGCTAGGGAAGACAATAATGTGCGCACATAGATACGAAAGTGACCTCGGATGACCCGGAAGTGTATCTGTTTCCTGCACCACATGATGTGACACCCGTCATAGTGTCTCCTGTAGAAGCTAGGGCATGTAACTGTACTTAATTATTTAAGCAATATCAGTACGACACTCAAATATTCATTGTACGCGAGACTGATTGTATGACAGAGAAATACTATTGAATAATACAACACACGCATTGCTTATCTGTGTAGAAAATCAAGGTTGTATTTTGTCTAACTATTTGCTGTCACGGTACAAGCTCGGTCTGGAGTGATCATATTGGAACACGTGTAAAACTGTAACGATCATTAACCTTCATGGATCATAGAAAATAATGTTCATTGTAATATAAAATTCCATAAGTATGACCTGCCTCCAAGGTGAAAGGTGAAGTATAATGCATTGATGTTATGGAATGTAAGCAATGACAAGACATGTAGAGAGTTTGATCACATAATTTGGTTTGGTTTGATTTTGTTTAACGTCCTATTAACAGCTATGGTCATTTAAGGACGGCCTCCCTTGTGTGCAAGATGCGAGCATGTAGTGTAAGCGTGTGTATTTTGGGAGGCTGCGATATGTTCTTGTTTCTCTCCTTGTGATAGCGCGGAACTGATGCCGACTTTATAGTGCTACTTCACTGAAACATACTGCCGAAGACACCCAGCAGGACGCCTCACCCGGTCACATTATAATGTCAACGGGCGAACCAGTCGTCCTACTCCTAAATTGCTGAGCGTTAAGCAGGAGTAGAAACTACATTTTTTAAAGACTTTGTTATGTCTCAGCCAGGGGACAGAACCCAAAGCCTTCCTCACAGGGCGAACTCTCAACTGATGACCAAAAGTGAGGCGTTGTCAAGGGAGACATTAGGAAGAAGAAAATAATTTAGAAAGAGGAGAAACGATAAGGTCCCAAATTTAGTCGCCTCTTACGATCATGCAATCGGGGGCAGCAGGTACAATTCTTACGCCCTACCTGCAGGGACGTATCATATGTTTAAGTGATCAAGTTAAATATATCATTAAATGTACACTGTAACATGTCTTCGTTGAACAGGTAAACTGTGATTTATTTTCATTACAATAAAAACAACACCTTTGAATATTTTTGGTGAGAAAATGATTAATAGCATGTCGAAGCGATGGAATGTAATCTGAAACATGTCTCCGGTATAAAATGCGAATCGTAAAATATTCACATTACAATATGAACCATGATATGTTTCTGTGAGGATATGTACGCTACCACATGTCGATTTGATTGACGGTGAACTATAACATATCTTTTTGTTGAATGGTATCTTGACTTATTAACATGGCAATATGAACTATGATATGTCTCTGTGTTGAAAAGGGAATCTTGACTTTTTCACATGGCAATATGAACTATGATATGTCTTTGTGTTGAAAATGGAATCTTGACTTATTCATATGGCAATATGAACTATGATATGTCTCTGTGTTGAAAAGGGAATCTTGACTTTTTCACATGGCAATATGAACTAAGATATGTCTCTGTGTTGAAAAATGAATCTTGACTTATTCACATGGCAATGTTAACAATGACACGTGTCTATGTTGAAAAGGGAAACTTGACTTATTCACATTGCAATGTGAAGTATGGCATGCCTGTGGGGAAATGGGAATCTTGACATTTTCATACTGCAATGTGAATGATCTTTGACATGTCTCTGTGGGGTAAAAATGTAACAGGTCGAAGTGATGAAAAGTTAATTGTTTCTAATGCATAGGGAGTCCATATGACAATGTATCCATGACGGTAAACAAACATTGTAAAGACATAATAATGGAATGTCACCAATATGTATGATAAGTTTCGTCCACAGCATTTGACATCTCTAAGAGGATTTTTTTTATGGGGAACTGCTCTATCTAACGTTTCGATAAAATGCCTATATTTGTGAGTATATGTTGAACCCCCCTGTTTCTGAAGTTAAGATATGTCACTCTCTAGTTGAAACAGTAAATTATTTTTTCGGTGTTAAAAATTGTAATAAATGCTCCTTTAAAACCCTTGTTGACAATAATACGCTGTACAATAAACATTGACACATAGAACCTAAACCTGGATGTACATTAAATATATCGAGTAGTTACACACATGCATATGCCTAGTGGTGACTGCAGCTGTTCAAATATCCTATTAATATTTTGTATGGTTTTTAATACATTTTAAGCTGTTTGATAATAGCATTTCCCCCGGAGCAGCACATGATATACTAGTGGGTATGAGGACACAACTGGGAGTATTATGAAGTAACATTTTACAAGTGTACATTGTATACATATTGATTTATCTTTGGTATTCGACACCTTGCACTCGATTAGATACACTTGGGATTTTTTTGTACAATGTAGGTATACATGTCTACCGTATGGTGAAGAGTATGCAATCACTTTATTCATGTTTTGTGCAATGAGGTGAATAAAACGTACGCACAGGTATTATATACACTTATGTTTGCATGGGAAAGCTGCACAGACACGCTGTGTTACTAGTGTTGACCGATTCATCCCTATATTTTAAAAGTGGACTTGTCCAGACTTTCGTTTGGTAAAGTTTATATGTGGCTTTAGGGGTAATGGGTTGTTAACTTCGTTGGCAAGGTTGTCAACCTGATAGCACTGATTCTACGCTGCAGAAATTCTACAGCTGTCATCCAGACCAGATTTTAAACTATTATATGCCACTATCAACTAATGGAAGATCGCCAGGGGCTTTCATTCGTGTTTTTTTTTTTTTTATCACAGTTTCTAATCTTCGCAGAATGTATATATTTCGCGAATTCCAGGTCTAGTGGCAAATGCAGTTTGCTATTGATTTTGAGGGATGTAATTTTCACTATTAGAAAACTGTTAACCAGGAAATCGCGAAAAATTAGAACTATTTAATATTAAATATTTTTCATAATTTCGTGGGTTTTAAAGAAGACATCAGGGAACTCTAAACCTTTCTGATGAACTGGTTCTGTATCGAATTTCTGATAGGGCTTCGAGTAGAGTTGATTTTCGTTTTCTTTTGGTGTCTCCTCATTTCTGTTGTTATTCTCCCGTATCAACATGCTGTTGAATATTAAAACAACACATTTATTGAACTGGAAACGAAAGAATCTGAATGAACAAATATTCCATTGCTTATAATAATATACTGTTCAGATAAATATTATGTTAAGCATTTAAATACAATTCAACAATATTGTTTTTTTTACCTTGCTCACCTTGTCGAAAACAGGAAAATTACAGCGCGTAATCAAAATGCCAAAAATGAGACGTTTTCAAATGTTGATGAATTGTTTATTTTGCTGTTTGTAAATACGTGTGGTATGTTGTTTATATACACAAAAGTTATGTTGTTTATTTACAATAACAAACTACTAGGAATACGCTGGTAATGCTTTTGCGAGATATTGTTTATATGGACGTACAAATGCGATTATTGTCTATACGGACATGTGTAATTGGTATGTATATTACAAGTGTGATATTTTGTTTGTATATCAGCTAACCCTTTCATCCCTTTGCAACTATAGTAAACTTTACCATGCATTGCTATGGATGAGTCCATTTGGTCTAAAGTGGTGAATAGGTTAATAGGGATGTTTATGTATAAAAATGCGATATGCGGTATATTTAAAGAGTTGTAATGTATTGATTCATATTTCCAGGTAAAAGATGTTGCCCACGGCCAAAATGAAGCTGTCTGAATTGAATCCGCATCTGATCTGTGTCCTGTGTGGAGGTTACCTTATAGACGCTACGACCATCATGCGATGTCTGCATTCCTGTGAGTACTGTATATGGTGACAGTTAATATACCTCAACGTGTGTTTGAGTTTATTCTCATAACATTAAGTATTTTTCGGGGCTTTTGTAGCGTAAAATGAATGACTCCCATTTATCCCTTCCTGGAAGGAGGCCAAGTGTGTGTCTTGTTTACTTCTTGTGGTGTCGATATCCATTTGTAAAGTTAAGAAAGCTGAAACGGTCCGATGAAATTGTTTTGCTACTAACCCTTCTCACATCATAAACATTTTGAACAAATAATAGCAAAGTAAACATTTAGTTGTTTCTCCCACACAAATAGACGTGTCGAATTAATTGGTTATAGTATTAAATAGCTTGAAAGCAACTCGTAATTAATCGCAGCAGACACACAAAACAACCTGGACACTGATAACAACACGAAACATTATGCTCACACAATGTTATAGATACTTTGCAAGCTAACCATTTATAAAAAACGCCATTATGCTACATGGGTTACTTTGTTGTCTGAAAAAGCGTTATTGTGGACTTACGATTGAATTTTAATGACAGATTAACATTTAACAAGAGTACGGTCCAGCCCAATATATGCAGCACTAGCTGGCCTTTATGGAATACAGTGTTACATGCGAAATTTCATAATTGATGGATGCAAGTATCTTGATATTATCTACATAACCGCCCTATTGAGACTCATAAATATTTCATGTTGTTTCCCCGATAAAGTACGGAGTAATTAGATAGATAATACGAGGAGCGATAATATATCTTACCTATAGACAAAACAGGAAGGCGTTCTCTTGTTTGATAACATTTTTATTGACCGGCGGCCTGGACTTAATTACACCCCCGTTTAATTGGTTTTCCCTGTTTTTGAGAGTAATGACTATAAATTCCATCACTTTTATTTAATTAAGTACTGTTGGTTGTTTTTTTTTTTTTTTTTTTTTTTTTTTTTTTTTCCTGNAATGTTGCATAAATACCCGATACCTGCGAAGTAATTTTATCGCGAATAACCGCGAAAAAATAGATCTGCGAAATTTAAGCAAATGCAGTATGTGTGGACTGCTTCAGCAAGACAACCTTTACAATTCTACAGCAAATACTTTACCAGTATATCTGGAGATGTGTATTGGATTGGTTAACGACTTCATAATTAATTACTTGATTCGGATATTAAGGAAAAAGGGAAAGTAATAACTAGTTTCGAATATGGTTGGAAGAAAGTTATAGGAAGGTTGTCTTTCTCAGAAATGTTTCATCCCGAGAACACATATATGTTCAGCCTTTGGTACCTGCAAGGTTTTTGTTTCCGCGTTAAGCGATTCCAAAACTGTTCGTCAATATTTTTCCGGAAAACTTTCAATAGCGTTGATTGCAATTAAGCTTCAATGGAAATATATTCCGTAGATATCCATGATTGCTCTAATAAGAATTTATGAAAAGACAATAATGATGGGAATCGACACGCATTGTATTTCATTTTTAATCCTATAAATCAAAATTATTAGAGACCATGCAAGGACACCATTGAATTTCTTGTTAAATATATTCTCGATCTGACTCAGTGAGCAACATTTGGTTATAGTTTCATAATCTCAATAAAAGATGTTCACTTTGTGTGGCTTTCTGTATAGAAATACTAAATATTTTGATAAGTACTGCCTTCTAGTATTTCCAGTAAATATTGAGATAAGACGGTGTTGTATCATACATACATGAAGATGTTCCATATTTGATCACCCTTTTCTGCAAAATCTTCAATTGACAGAATAACGGCATAATTCATCGCTGTAACATGATTGCCAACCTTTTTGATTTAAGTATTATGCACGATGAAAAGATTCTTCACTGCGTCTGAAGGGAATTATCATGAGTGGGAAGGGAATCTATGTGTGTAACAACACGTTTCATATTTCAGAGCAGGACCTGTTTTCCCCATGTTATTTGTGGGCGTACAGAATGTCTTTCTTTTTGTTTTGCTGGTCCCTGAGCTCCGTGTACAGCCTAAACGTTCTAACCGTTAGTTCGGAATTTATGTTCTATGTGGAGTCTTTGGCATATTTTTCTATCTTACATCATATCCTTTGTTCAATTTAATTGTAGCAATACCCGAACATTCGTTTAGCTTCAATGCATTCAACCAATCAACTCGTTCATCCCTGCAATTCCATGATGAACTATTCCAACATTTGAATTTGAAGAGTTCAAATGTGTCTTCAGGGGTACAGTAGATGAGTTAACGTTCACAGTGCAGTGTTTACCTAATCATCATTTTTGTTGCTGCAGTAGATTTACAAACAGTAAAATATTGCCATACTGGGACGTGAAGGGTTATTTTTGTGGAGAATAAGTCGCTTTGTCTGCTCGATGAATCCATAATAATGGCACCAAGCTCTTCCACTGTTCCTCCAATAGGCGACGGCTCACTTGTGAGGTAGGGGATATGGTGGCTAGGGAGAATGGTTACATGAAGTAGGTCATAAATTGGCTGATATCCTTCAACAGATCGTCAACTTTTATCATTAGGACGTTATCAAATAACCTTGCAGATTGTCAAAGATACACGCCATATGGTTGCCGTTATCTATCTTAATGCGTTTCCCGACATTCTTCTTCAAGCAGAAGACAACTATAATGAAGCTGTTCTGTACCAGATAACCTATTTTTGACACCCCTCCCAACCCCCAACCCAACCCTCATTATTGTTTTGTTTCATTGTGATCAATAAAAGTCGTATCCCGCAAGCTTATAAGAGAATAATTTGCGTGCTATGTCCCTATGCATGATCGTAAGAGATGACTACACAATCGTTTAAACACCAATCGCAAGGGCTGTTTTACATAGTTATCTTTTCCTTTTCTTTTTTTCTGTTGTCTTTACTTTCAGTGTTATGCTTTGCACTACATATGGAATAAAATAAAAGTTCAGTTTTATCAGAGTTTTAGTGACGCAAATGTATTAAACGTTATTTTAGGCACATATTAGGTAGCTCAAATGACTGCAATTTTAAAAACACTAATGTTATACATTTTTCTAAATACATTTCAACCAGGGATATATGTCTGGAGTTCTTTGATTAATTAATCTTTTAAGCAAATAAAGCAAAAAAGGTACACGGAAATGGATTATTTATAACTATTTTATTACCATTTCTATTCATAATTTTGTTGAATTATGTCTTAGGCTGTTACCACTGGTGTGTACATACAAACTTTATCTCGAGATTTACTTGACTTTTCAAACATTTTAGATGATCGAAGTCTGCAAATAATTGACAAAATTTGTTTAAGGTTGTCCAGTTTTAGCATTATTTAATATAATTATTATTGTATTAACAAGGAGGAATTTACATAAACGAGGCTTGTTTTCTTGTCCATTTTTTTGCGTCCTCTGCAGATCATGATTCAATATTTTTTTTTTTTTTTTTTTTTTTTTTTTTTTTTTTTTATTAAATTTGACCTTGATAGATATGTATTAGCAAAGATTTCACCTTTGGAAAAAATGCTTCTTTGAGTTAGCCTAGTTATTTCTCATGTTAACTTATCCACCCCTGAATGCATTTAAACTCTTCCAATTCAAAGGTTGGAATGGTCATTATGAAACTTCAGGGGTGAATGAGTTAATAATGACAGGACTTTAGCTCAATCTATCAACTCAGTGTATCCTACTCTAAGATTCCGGGGCACATATGGTAGTGTTGGCCTTGTGCACACTCAGTCTTCCTAATCCGGACATGTAGTGACCCTGCCTTGACCAGTCGATCATCCTCTCTCAGCGGTAAGAGGATTACATGTCTGCCACTACAGACAAAGTCGGCTGTTTTAAAAGAAAAGATCCATCTTATAACCACATGTATTAAAACGTATCTATATTTCTGTATGGGACTTATGAGGCAAGTCCAGATATTTACATAAAATTAACACACAAGACTGACTGAGAGGGAACAGGCCACCTGAAGAAGCCCAATACGGCAGAAAGACCTTGCGGTGAAGGTTGTGAACTCGTTATTCTATTTGACATTTTCATTTTCAAACACTTGTTAATATATTATCTACAATTATACATAAAGGTACATATAATACAATTTTATGAATACATACTACTGCAAGTAAAACAAATAAGATGGTCTACATCACCACAGAAAATGTGTGACGTCATGTCAATCTATTTCTCACTAACAAGTGTTTCAGTCAAACCTAGACGCACATTCGGTTTGTGAAATATTTAGGATTACAGAGGGTCGGTTAGGATATGTTTATGTAAAAAAAATATAGCAACGTCGAAACCTCGTTAATCATACAGGCTAATATCGATTATGTGTTATGGGAAGCTAATCTGTCCCTCTTCAGTCGTTTCATTCCCTATGATTACGTCAATTTGTACTCCTCGTTTGCGATGATTTGATAATATTGACGTCAATGGATACTCTCAGAACTACTAGTACGCTAAATGAGTTTTTAGTGTTTTATTGTACAGTAATTCAGCAATGTACTTTTATTATGTTGTAACCTTCTTTTTACTACAGACATCAATTTTATGTCTTGTATATCTGCGTATACATGTGTAAGTAAATTTGATATGATAGCCCTGATACGCTGAAGTAAATTCCCCTAGATTTAATAACAGCAATCGTATATAGAGAATCGTGTAAAACAAAAGACAAACCAATAAAACCTTGTTATCAGACAGGAAGTCTCTATCGATCCTTTAGCTCCAGGGTCAGTAACAAGATTTGTCTATTCAAAGGTTGTACGGAAAGTGTACATGTAATTGCCGGACATTATCGGGTCGGCTCTTTCCGGAAAAACTCTTGTCTTTTGCCAGACGAGCCTGGTATCGATTCTTTCACCAGTCAAAATTATGTGATACCATAAATGGTGAAATGTGTGCCTACCGTTGTAAAAGCGCGGTCAATTATGAATAAAGGCGGTATGCATAGGGGTTAAACCATGCACGCGTAATGCATGCAATTGCACGTGTAATTGCACGTGTCGTGCATGGAAGTACTTGCGTTTG